CTCTTTTCAGGAAGTGAGTCTAATGCCAGGCGCATGGCTTCCCAGTTTGCCTCTTCGTCATATAGCATTACTCGAAGAGTCGGCTCGTAGTGTTCTATTGGAAGAACAGCGTCCGCACCGTAAGTTAGGAGGAATGGAGTTTCTCCAGTCGCCCCTTTTTCAGTCGTCCTAATGGCCCAGAGAACATGTGGTAGTTCATCCGCCCATAGGCCGCCTGCTCGTTCAATCTTTTTCTTGAGACCGTCTGAGATGATTTTATTAAAGGCTTCTACCTGGCTGTTTGCTTGTGGACGGCCGACAGATGCAAAGTAGTGTGCAATTCCTTGGTCTCCCAACCAGCTTTTGAGAACAGGCGTCTCAAATTGGGGACCATTATCAAAAACCATAGACATGGGAACCCCGAACCGAGTGATGACATTTTTCCAAATGAAGGAAATTACATCCTTCGTCTTGATTCCCTTTACCGCCTCCGCCTCTACCCATTTAGTGAAGTAGTCAACGGCAACAAGTATGTACCTTCTGCCGCCTGTAGCAGGAGTATATGGACCCAGAATGTCCATGCCCCACTTAGCAAACGGTAGTGGGCTGTGAATGGTAGTGAGGTCAGTAGCCGGACGGTGAATTAGTTTGCCAAACCTTTGGCACTTGTCACATTTTTTCACCATCTCCATTGCATCTGCTTCCAAAGTAGGCCAAAAGTAGCCCTGCCGCCTTGCCCTTTGAGCAAGCATCCTACCACCTATATGAGAAGCACAGTAACCAGAGTGAAGATCATCTAGTATCTCTCGTCCCTTTTCTGGAGTAACACACTTTAAGAAGGGTTGAAGGTACCCCCTCTTGTGAAGTTCTCCCTTAATCATTTCAAAACAGGTGGCTCGTTTTTTCAGTGCTGCCGCCTGTTGAGTATCATCCGGCAGTGTACCGTTTGTCAGATATGCCCTGATTGAATCCATCCAGGTTGAGCTTCTGTCTAGGATTCCAATAGGGCTTTCCTCGATGCTTCTCTTCTCCATTACTTCCCAAAAAACAGTTCGAGGAGTATCAGAGGAGGCGGATGATGCTAATTTTGACAGTGCATCCGCCTGGTTGTTTTCTTATCTCGGCACTTGGATCAGATGGAAATCCTCAAGGGAGCCGACTGCTTGTCGGACCGCCTGTAAATACTTGATCATGGCCGGATGGGTTGCTTCATATTCGCCATTGTACTGACTCACTATCAATTGTGAATCGGAACAGGCGTCTATTTTTCTTGCCCCTGCCGCTTTGCACATGCGGATACCGGCTAGTAAAGCTTCATATTCTGCCTCATTGTTTGAAGCCTGAAAACTGAAGCGTAGAGCATACTCGAACCTGTCGCCCTCTGGAGACTGACATACGACGCCTGCTCCACAACCATTTGAAGTAGAGCTTCCGTCCACATACACCTTCCATACTTGGTCTGGAACTTGAGAGTCAGGAGGACGAGTCATCTCTACAATAAAGTCAGCAAAGGCTTGCCCCTTTACTGCTTTTCTAGGCTTGAAAGTAACTTCGAGGCTCTGTATTTCTATGGCCCATTTGATCATTCGGCCTGACGACTCCATGATGGTCAGCGGCCGCTTGATAGGTTGGTCTGTATACACGACGACTGTATGTGCCAAAAAGTAGGGCTTCAATTTTTTAACAGCCATGAAGAGTGCAAGACCAAATTTCTCCACTAGGGGATACCTCAACTCGGCATTTTTCAGTACGTGACTGACAAAGTAGACCGGGAGCTGACAGCCGTCCCTTTCAGCAAGGAGAACAGCGCTTAACGCATGATCAGAGACGGCCAGGTACATGTAGAGAACCTCTTTGGGCAAAGGGCTGACCAGCCTCGGCAAGGAATGCAAGTGAACTTTTAATTTCTGGAAGGCGGCCTCAGCATCCGGCCCCCATTCAAACCTTGCCTTTTTCTTAATTGCCTGGAAAAAGTATAGGCATTTGTCGCCTGATCGGCTTAGAAATCTTCCCAAGGCCGCCAGACAACCTGTTAACTTCTGAACCTCTCGGATGGTACGAGGCGACTGCATGTCAATGACCGCCTGCACCTTCTCAGGGTTCGCTTCTATTCCTCTCTGATTGATAAGGAATCCGAGAAATTTCCCGGACTCAACTCCAAATACACATTTCTTGGGATTGAGCATGACATGGTGCCGCCTGAGTGTGGCGAAAGTTTCTCGGAGGTCCGACAGATGATCTTTCTGAAGTTTAGTCTTGACAATCATATCATCAATATATGCCTCGACGTTTCTCCCAATCTGATCAAAGAACACTGTGTTTATCATTCGTTGGAAAGTAGCCGGGGCATTCTTAAGACCAAACGGCATGACCGTGTAACAGTATAACCCCTGATCAGTGACGAAGGCCGTCTTCTCCTGATCTTTCTTCCATAAGGGAATTTGATGGAAACCAGAATAGGCGTCCATGAAACTCATCAAGGCATGGCCGGCTGTTGAGTCGACTAGGTTATCAATTTTAGGCAGAGGGTAACTGTCTTTGGGGCACGCCTTGTTTAAGTCTGTGTAGTCTACACACATTCGCCAGGTGCCATTCGGCTTTTTAACAAGCACCACATTTACAACCCAGTCTGGGAAGTAACATTGCCGAATGAACCCTGCATCAAGTAATTTTTTAACTTCGGCGGCTGCCGCCTGACTTCTTTCTTCGCCATGGTTCCGCTTCTTTTGCCGTACCGGCTTCTTTTTCGGATCCACAGCGAGTTTATGTACCGCCAGATCAGGACTAATGCCTGGCATTTCATGGACTTCAAATGCAAAGATGTCCTTGTATTCTTTCAATAGGTTGTGAAAGTCGTCACCAAGGTTTCTCAGAGCAGTCGTCCCAACTTTGACTGTTCGGTCAGGACGTGAGTCGTCTAAGATCAGGTCCGCATGCTCACCAGCCGGCTGAGGGCGGAACTCATACGGCCGCTCCTCTGCCAATGATTGCTATTTTCTCGCTTTTCTTGCGGACTCTGTCTGGGACGCCTTTCTCTTTTTGCCGCCTGCTTCTTGAACAGGCGCACTCTCCTTGACATTGTCAAGGTCTGTTTTTTCACCACTTGACCCAGTGGCCATAACAGTGGGCTTGACATCCGAGAGATAGCACTCTCGGGCCATCCTCTGATCTCCCCTTAGGGAGCCGACTGTTCCATTATCCCTCTCAAACTTGAGCAACATAAGAGACGGGATTATAACAGCCTTGGAATTATTCAGGGTTGGTCGACCCAGAATCATGTTGTAGGCCGAGAGTTCCTCTACTACTAAGAACCGGACTACCATGTGTCGTCCTTCCCCTTTTTCGCCAAGGCGAATGGGCAAATCTACTCGTCCTAGTGGGTGGACGACTCCTCCTCCAAACCCTATTAAAGGGTGGGAGGCCGGATGTATGCAGTCCGTCTGATATTTCAGTTTTGACAGACATTTGCTGCTGATGAGATCTGAGGAGCTCCCGGTATCTATGAGGATTCGGCCAACTCTCTGGTTGGCCACTTTACATTCAATAACGAGAGGGTCGTCATGCGGCCCCCTTACCCCTCCTAGATCCTCTTCTGTGATGACAATCTTAGGAAATGTATATTTGGACGGCCGTTCTTGGTGAACGGAATTTACATCTAACCGCCTTATATTATCTTTGTTGCCCCTAATAGTGGGGCCGCCTCCTGAGAAGCCGCCTGCAATGGTGTAGACGTCTGCATCATCTGTATCGGAGCTGTCGGCCTGTTGATTCTTTTTGGCCGACAGCTTTTTTGAGGAAGTGTTCCCCGTAGATTTCTTGACATAAGTGTCAAGATCACCTTGCTCAGCCAGGCGGTCTAGGTACCGCATGAGACTGATGCAGTCATTGGTGTGATGACCAACGTCATCATGATAAGCACAGATTTTATCTTGGTTTCGGTTGTTTGCAGAACCCTTCATGGGGACCGGCTTCTCAATTGAGATCCGTCCCTTTATTTCTTTTAGGATAAACTGGTTATCCTTGTTAAACGCATACTTTGGGGAGTATGGTTTGAATTCTTTTTTCTTTTTCTGGGCCGGCTGTTTAGAGGAATCAGCCGCCCAGACCTCTTTTCTTTTCTCATCTTTGTTTGACGACTGTTTCTGTCGTCCTTCTCTTTTGTCGAACATTTTCCCGTCCGACTATTTTATCGTACACAGATCAGTCGCCTGTATATAGGTTGGTGAATGCCATCAGATGGTCTTCTGGGTTAGTAGTGCCGTCATAGGCGCCTACTAGTACATTTTTTACTTTGGCCGGCTGAGCGGCGTCAGTAATTTCCTTGGAGAAGGCCGACGGCTGTTCACCAAGTCTAAGCAACCGTAGCTGCCAGTCCATAGGTTGGACGTTTTTTGCTGCAGGTCCACCAAATGGAGGTGGCTGCATAAAATACTGTTGTTGTCTTAGACAAGAAAAAGGTAACACTTTAAGCGAATGTAGTCTTATATAGTCTCACTAGTACAAAACTAACCTTAGGTAACACCCAAAAAGCGTTACATTAAGTAGTAAAAGTGTTATTATAGACAATAGGTAACACTTTATTGGGTGATACTTCCGCCCATGTTCCCTAAGATCTTTTGTAAGACTTTGGGTAACGTATGGTAACATTATCATAGTGATTCTTATGCAACACTTTTATATTATTAGTATCATTTTTGAAGTGTTACTTTTTATTTCTTATGTAACACTTACTTATCTTTAGTAACATTTTAAAATAATATAGTATCACTTTGTCCGACATTATGTATCACTTTTTAACTAATGGAACACAATGTTGATTATTAAGTAACATTTTTCAATCATCTTTTGACATATATAGTAGCACTTTATTCAAAATTATGTAACACTCTATGCAAACTAATTATTATAATTATTATTATTATTATTATTATTATTATTATTTTAAAAATGCGGTTATTTTTTTAAATTTATAAAAATAATATTAAAATTTACAACAATTAACCACGATTGTGAAATTAATATTTACGATAAACAATAATTTGAATTGATATAATTTCATATTTTCTTGTAAAAAAATTCCATATACAATCAAATAATCCAAACCAAACAAAAGCCGACTTTGTCTCTAGACCACCAAATTCAAAAACAAAAAGAACAAAATAGCAATCAGCGCTTTTACAACACACAACATTATTAACAGTAGACAGCAGCAGCTAGCAGGACACAAATAGCGATAGCAGCAAACGATAGCAGCATTCAGCACTAACAGAGATAGCAATAACAGTGACAGCAACAACAACACTAATTGCAGATGAGAGCTCCGAACTTTTCAATCTCGGAAAAAAACGTTTATCTAAGTTAATCTTGTACTCCGTAGTATCTATCGATCTCCCCAAACATCGGCAGCTAAAATATGCACAAATGTGTTTCTTGTGACATCATTACTTGCTACTCCAATCCTTCATCTTGATCCATTTGATCCTATATATGTGAGAAAGCATCATATATCAAAGAACCAAAAATAAAGCATTCATGAAAATCATTAAACGTATCACATAAGTTTTTAACAATTAGTATTGAGGCCAAGAATATAGATATATAAGCACATTCTTATAAACTACTGCTTATATAATTCATATATATATATAAACTTGAATATAGATACAACCGCATTATTATCCTTCAAATTAAAGAGCAAATGATACGTCAACCATTCAATGAAACAACATAAACCCCATCAAATTAGTTACCATCAAATTAGTTAAGGCAGCAAGGTACAGAGAACCAGACTGATCGAACACCACCAGGCTACCGAATCCCTGATCAGCGAACGTCTCATAGTTGGTGTTCAGTGTGTTGAAAAGGGGGAAATCTGTGGTGTATAATGCAAGATTTCCGTTACATCCCAAGTTGAATGAAAACCTGCCAATCGAGAAATATATTCTAATGATAATCTCTCTCATTATTTAGTACATGATGTGCACCAAGTGCTATAAGAAACAAACCAGGAGCAAAATGTTGTGAAAAGATTTAAAGATGAAATTGAATATGTTAAGTTGTCAACTACAATCTGATTTGATCATGCTTTACCAATTTGAACAAACAGGTACACTAGAGCTAGGCACTTTAAAAGAATCACATATATGTTGTTTACCTTAGTCTATCTTGAGATTAAATCTAATAGCACATAACTTCAAAACATGAAACAATTCTGGACACAGGCAATATCAATTATATATTGTGTTAGTGTTGTTGGAGGGTATTAAGCAAGTTATATTGGAGCTGAGGTTTTTAAAGCTTTTTCCTTTCTATCTGACTTTTGCATTACAAAGCAAAACTAAACATAAATAAAATACAAGACCAACAACCTGTGAAGTATCACTGACTTTGATGTAATAATTGTTCTTTTATTAGTAGTACTTGAAGAATGCAAAGTCAATTTTTGAGTGGATAGCATGGGCTGAATCTGTTTACAACTTCAATCCCATCATAGATGAATGGTGCAGAGAAGCACCAAAAGAACTTGATTTTAACATTATTGAGGTTTGAGGATGGTACTTAATTTCTTGTATATATTAATTGTTATAAAGTGCTAAATCTTTTCATCAATCATCATTTTTTTTGCATAAATTAGTTTGTATTGATTTTAGGCATATTTTTCACTATATTAGTGCTACAACTTTTCTTTAATCATCAGCTTTGTCGCTTAACTTAGTTTGTATTTAATTCTAGGCATGCTTTTCCCTAAATATCTTCATATTTGTAAAGAATACTAGAAAGGTGGCCAGTATTCCCATGTGAAATAGCATTGAAGTTTGATTCCAAAAGTTATACATGTAATACTCTCTTAAAAGATCATAATTGAATGGTATTATATGTTAGATGCTAATATGTTTAGCTGTGACGGAGGATAATATGTCAGAGTGTATGTTTTATTTCCATCAAATTTGGTTCAAATAAGAGACAACCGGTTTCATATAGATGAGAAATTGTAAAAAAAAAAAAAAAAAAAAAAAAAAAAAAAAAAAAAAAAATGAAGAATATATTATCATAAAAATGCAGTAAACATACTTAATTAACATATTTTTCTCGATCTATTTCTTTTTACTGAAAGTTCTTTAAGTGCTGCTTACAACTTGATAACAAACAATGAAATTATAGCTTCAATTACATATGAAATTGAGAAGAACTATGAAAAAAAATCAACTAAACTTAAAAAAAAAAAAAAATATATATATATATATATATATATATATATTGATACTGACGACATAAGTAAACTTATAATAATGAGAAATTGATAAAAACCCAAATCATTCTGTAAGACGTAATTGTTATAGAAAAATAGAGAAAATTTACGCAAAATTAAAAGGGCAAATTCTGTAAAACTAAAATAATAATAATGAGAATACTTTTACCTGAGAATGAGAAATTCAGTAAATTGTATGGGTAAACAGGTTTGATTGAAATTCACAAGTATAATTAAAATAGTAGCAAATTCAGCAAAAAGGAAACAGATCCAATGTTTAGGGTTCTTCACGCAAAAGTTCGAGATTGATATTGAGAGAGGTTAGGGATCGAAAATGGGAGTAGAGAAGAATTAATATGATTATGAAGAACTAACAAAAAATTCTTACCAACGCTACAATGGAGGAGAGAAAGCTCGTGTCCCTAGACTAGCGGCCGAAAGATGATGAGGGAGGAAGATATAGGGGCAGCGGAATGGCGGCTGAATCAAGGAAGATAATAAGAAGCAGTCGGAGCACGAAAGCGGAAGCCGTGAAAGGGGAGTTTTGTTCCTATTGCGGTTAATTGTAAAAAAAAAAAAATTGTAAAAACCATTGTTAAGCGCTATTAATTTCTTTTATTATTGTTATGAATTATTGAAAATAAAAATAAATAAATCTAATGTTATCTAAAATCAAAGTGTTACAAGAAAGTGATGCTTAATATGAAAGTGTTACAATCAAGTGCTACTTAATACCAAAGTATTACAGTCAAGTGTTACATAATATCAAAGTGTTACAGTAGTATTACTTATAAAGTTATTAAGTTTCTATCCTTTAAAGTGATACCATGTGGTGTTATTTTAGATCATTTTTGTAGTAGTGTCTAGAGCAACACTTTTTTCTCTGTTACTTTAGTTCAAGGTAACGAATAAATATTGTTGCGTTAGATTGTTAAGAGTAACATTTCTGTAAGTGTTGCAATCTTAAGTGTTGCCTATTCTCATTTTTTTGTAGTGGATATTCGAGGATGAAGGTACAAATCCAACCTAAAAGAAATTGACCATGCCCTAAAAATAGGCCTCTACTTATTCTTCTCATATTCATATGCGCAATCTGACTAACATACAATCAATATATTAATCCTAAACATGTTTAATCTGTGTTGGTTGAATATTAAAGCACAAACAAATCTATTATTGGCGATCACTTGAAATAAAATCATATTAGCCTAAATAAAATTATTAATTATCTTAAGCGTAATTACAAGTACAAGTTCTCTATAATCCTGCAAGAGAGGTCGTGATCAAGCAATAACAATGTTATATATCAAGCAACATAACGACAATCATCATCATAACAATATTCTCAATAAAGCATAATAATATGTTAGCAAGATCCTAGGCATGATACTAACCTGATTCATAACAAATCCTAGCATGTCACTAAACAATAAAAATCAAAGCTTTAATCCTAACATGATACTAACACGATAGAAGAAAATAGGAAGCAACCTAAACATGATATAAGAAAGCAATAAAAGCATCCTAACATGATACAAGGAATTAAAATAATATAAACATGCTTTCTAAATTTAAAGAGAAATAAAACAACTTACTTTGTTGCCTCATATCTCTTTCTATCAAAACAATACACACGTTAGTAGCTTCAATGAAAATATTAAATCAAACGATTAATTTAAATAATTGAAATAGGGATTTTGGACCAAACCCTCCGAAATTATCACCCTTTCACGTCAAGAGAGAAGACAACTTCGAGCTTGGCTAGGTGTGTCTAAGACTCGTGAATGCGGTATTGTGTTTGTAAAATGGCTAGGCTAGAAAGCATGAGGGAGAAAGAACAAGCTATTGCTTAAGAGAGAGAAGAGAAAGATGATTGTTGATGATTGTGAATGAATAAAACGGGGAAATACAACCCTATTTATAAGGAAAAAGGTCCTAAAACGATCAGAAAAAGATCAAATTTCATTCGGAGTGAAACTACTTCCATCGCGGCGAGACAGGGTTCATCGCAACGCGATAGTTCCATCGCCGCACGACAGCTCCATCGGGCGCGATGACTCTGTCGTTTCGCGATGGTTCACGCGCTAACTTAAAAGCCGTATATAGTTCTTAATCTAATTAAATTAGACTACTTATCTTTTAAAATCAGATTTAATTCTTTAAAAAAGCACTGGTTTTATTCCAAATAAAATTCTTTATTTTCTAAAAGATATAATTATTAATCCTAATTCCACTAGAATTCAAAATAACCTTCTAGATTATTCTAGAAGATTAAAATCAATCCTAATTGTAGGGAATATTTCAAGCATTAATCCCCTACCTTGAACCCCACTGTGATCATACACTTAAGTACGGTGGCGTCCAAAGGGAAAGAAGATAGAGCAAAAGAGTCGCCAACAAGTTTTAGGAACTTGTAAACCGTTCACGAGGTGAAGGTTACACCCCTTAACGATCCAAGAGATCGTCGAATCCATAAGGTCTTGAACCAAATAAGGGTTCGGGGATGAAGGTACAAATCCAACCTAAAAGAGATTGAACCTGCCCTAATAATAGGCCTCTACTTTATTCTGATCGTATTCATGTGCGCTTTCTGACTAACATGCAATCAATAGGATTAACCCTAAACTTGTTTATCTATGTTGGTTGAATTTAATGCACAAATAAATCTATTATTGGCGATCACTTGAATTATAATCATATTAACCCTAAACAAGATTATTAATTATCTTATTAAGCGTGATTACAAGTACCGATTTCCTTTAAACATGCATAAAAAGTGTGATCAAGCAATAACAATAAATATCAAGCAACATAATAATCATAATATAAAAATTATAACCATAATCATAACAATTATAATAATCATAATAATAATAATTAAAAAATAATCATAATCATGTTAAAGCATAATAATAGCAAGATCCTAGGCATGATACTAACAAGATTAATAATAAACCCTAGCATGTCACTAAACATTAAAAATCAAATCTTTAACCTTAACATGATACTAACAATATGACAAGGGGAAAACTAGGTCGTTATCTAATCTTCCCTCGGTCAAACTAAATTTATAAACACTTAACAAACCTTAATACGAGTATAGAGGCAAGTCAAGGGTCGAATCCAAAGGAACGGTAATGTTCAAGCACTTTCAATTATGTGCCTAAGCTAGGTCGAAGACGAAGATAAGAGAAAATACTAACAACTAAAAAAACAACTAACCAAGGAAATAAAACACTAGGAACGGGGATCAACAAGTAATCATGTCAATTGCAACAACTTGGGAAGAGCATGTCAATCAAAGGTTGTGAGGACTAATGATAAGAGCAATCAATAGGAATCAAAGAGCTATCTCCTAATTGTTAAGCTAGGGTTCACTATGAATAACAAACTAAGAGAATCACAATCAAAACCAATCGATAATTGCAATTCCTAAATCAATTGTTCATGTCATTAGCAATTACAATGCAATCTAGCATAATTCTCAAAGCCTAATTGAATTACACATATGCAAACCTTCACTAATCACTTTAATCTCAACAATCAATCAACACAATTCCGAAATTAATCACAATTAATCAATCATACAAGTTTCACCCAATTCCTAGCCAAACAACTATTCAAGAATCATCATCTATCAACTAACAACTATGGAAATCAAGAATCAACAAAATATCAAGAACAATTACACTAATCAAGCATCAAACATCAAAATTAAACCAAACAAACATGAAATTAAACAAAGCAATAAGGTGAGATAGAGTTAAGAATGCTCATTGATAATAGAGAAGATCTTGAACACAATTGTCACCTTTGTATCTTCAATCTCTCAATCACCATTGAAATCCTTCACTTTCTCTCTCTAAAACTACTCCTAATCTAGCCTAATCTAGAGAGAGAAGCTCTCAACCTAAGAGAGAGAACTATTATAAGACTAAGAAAATATGGTCAAAAAGTTGGTTTCAAAAGGGAATTACAATTCTATTTATAAGCAAAGAAGAAACCGGCAAATCCCGCGTCCTCTCCCGGTGAACCCGCGGCCGCGAAGAAATGGCTATGGAACCCTCCGCAGGCTATCTGGGCAACACCCGCGCCCGCGGCAGTATAAACCCGCGCCCGCGGCCAAAGATGCCGCGCCCGCGGCTAATCTCCTGCTCCCAAAGCTCAATCAGGGGGCCGCGGTCTCTCTGAGACAGAGCGCCCTCTCCAAGTTTCCCGCGCCCGCAGAGAGCCCGCGGGCCAACCGCGGGAAGTTCCTGCCAAAATCTTGCCATTTGTGCTCCTTGAGCCCGCGCCCGCGGCCTCACTGACCCGCGCCCGCGGCCTGCTGGCAATACCTTGGAGACCTCTCCGAGGCCTCTCCAAGGCCTCTCTAAGCCCTCTCTAGCCAAATGCTTCTTCCTTGCTTGGTCATTAAGGTCCCAATGCAACTTGATTCCTTTGCAAAGGTGATTCTCGAAGTACCTACACAAGCAAACAAAGAAAGGAAATAAAAGGGAAAAAGAGCCAAATAAAAGGAAAACACGAGAAAAACACGAGAACCATAAAGAAAAGAGGAGAAAGAGAAACTAAAGGAAAAAGGACCAAAAATAAGAGAAGAAAGCATGAAAAAGGGAAAGAAATAACCCAAAAGACTACCCTATGAGTGCCATAAATGACACTCATCAAATTCCCCCAAGCTAGACTTTTGCTCGTCCCGAGCAAAACAAAGGTTAAAAAGGAAAAAGAAGGGCTTATTAGAAGCAAAAAGAAAAAGAGAGATGAGAATATACACTAACTCACTTTCGTAGGAATCACGGTCAATTTTAGCAACTAAAGACAAGCCATTTAAACCCCTAGATCGCCCTAGAGAACGAGTGATGATCTTGTAAAGGTTTCCTAAGAGATTAACCCATAACTCTCATAATAATACAAACAAGGAAAAGCAAAAGGAAGGAAATCAAATGAAAAGAAGAGCAAACACATGTTCATGAAAGGACTTTTTAAAATGTACAAGCACAAATGAATGCAAATCTTTCTAAATAAGTAAGGGAGTGCACGCTCCAAAATACCTAAGGTTGATTGTAACATAAATATTCTAAGCATAGGAACTAGTTATCACACTCCACTTTCATCCCAAACGGTCTTACCGCGTTCCCCCTACTAATCTCATATCTCCCCTTAGTGAGCGTCTCATAGATTCCACGAAGGAATCGGAAAAAGGTCAAATTTTTGGCTTACTCGACATCTTGACTTCGCATCCCCTTTCCTTAGGCTATAACCCATGATTCCCTCCACCGACGAATGACTCAACCCCTAGGTCAAAAGGTCTTCCCAAAGGTTGTAACGTAAGGCAAAAAGGGTTAAGGTAGGCTAAATTTAAAATTTGGTGGTTAACCTAAATTATGAAGCAAAGATTGCGCATTTCTTTACACCATAACCAAGTAATCACCAAACAAAAATACCAACACCCCCAAGCTTATTCAAAGCTAAGATCACAAACATATACACAAAAAGCGTGAGAACGCTTCCCCCCAAGCTTAAATGGAGCATTGTCCTCAATGCTCAAAAAGGAAGATTACTCACATAAAAATAATT